CGTAGAATTATTTTTTTAATTGCAAAATTCCTCTATATATGGACCCAAATATAGTACTGTACCCAGTTATCCATCGAAAATTCAATATCGAGAGTACAAAAAATGACATTTTTTATGCTCTTCTACCCACTTTTTAATGATATGTAACACATTTTGGAGTGACGATATCATTGTAGGGTCCTTATCATTCATATCATCAACTTATGGGAGCAATGTCTAATCATGTATATTAATGTGAAAGTTGATGTAAAAAAGCTAAGGAGTTGTTCTCTTTGTATTTCAATTTTGTGTTTTAAGTTTTGAATTTATTTTTGATTTTTTTGTTTTGAGTGCTCATTTTGAGATTTTTGAAAATGTGTTCTTGTTGGCATTTTGAAAAATTATTTAAAAAATAAATAAAAAAAATGGAAAACCCGTTTACTTTCCACTCTCTCGTCTCTCAACGAAGCCTGAGCTCCTAAAATCAATTCCCCCAAAATCAATTCTCACACGCAAAGTTGTTGTGGTCCTCAAATCCATTCAATTCGTATATGACGTTGTATCCCAAATCAAGGTAATATACGTATTTCTCCATGTCAACGAGAAGTTGCCGTGGAAATGGACGCAGTCTGTAAGTGTTGCTGAATATGGGTTTCAAAAGTTGAAGAAACCAGATGTCTCAATGTTGTTAAATGGGTCATGGATAGTTGTCGGGGACTCTTGGGCGAGGTTAATGGTGGTTTCTTTGTCAGAGTTGGCCATGGTTCCGAGGGGATGAAGAAAATCAGAGGGGATTTGTTTAAGAGATATAGCTATTATTCAACTACTACTGATGAAATTGGGATGAAGTTTGATTTTATGTAGGCACCATATGTTAGAAATCTGACCAAAATTTTAGTTTGATTATAATTGAAAACACTCAAAACAACAAATTTGTTGTTTTGAGTTTTTTTTTGTAAATTTTTAACTTATTTTCAAAAAAATCTTTTTGAAAATAAAAAAGAGAGCGCGTTTTCACTGTTTTAAAAAATCTAAAATAGAAAACGACTTGAAAATGATATAGAGATGAGGTCCGAATGATTAAACCAATTCCAAATTCTTTGCACACACACCCTACCCTACCCTCGCCCACCCCCCCGCCCCGCGGTTGAAAATGACCAGAAAACCGACCAAAAGACCCACAAATGGCAGAAATTGCAATTTTCTTTAAACTCCATCCTTGTTTCCATTACCCTATTCTCATTGATTAATCATCACGTGGCTCAATTTAGCACACTTCCCCCATCATCTTCCTCGCTAGGAAAAAGCACGCATTAAAAGAGAAACCACAGTTCACATTTCACAGATTCACACAAAGAACACACAGACACACTGGCTTAAAGTTTTGCTCTTTGAAAAATTTTCAGCTCAAGAATCACCGAAAGCTCTGATCTTTTCTCACACACTCATATACTAGAGTTTTATCTAGTTATATACTTGTAATTGTTCATATTTTTTTCTTCTGAAGAATGGAGAAAATTACTGCTTTGGTTAACTTTGAGCTCAGAGCTTGTGGGATAGTGTAGAGTTCTTTCATCAAAGCCAAAGGGTTCTTGTATTTTCATTTAAAAAATTTCTCTTCCTTTCCCTTCTGTTTTCTCTCTGAAGAATGGGTTGCAAGTGCATGATAGCTGGGAATTGGGTTAGATTGAGAAAAAGGAGTGGTGGCTTGAGAACTAAACAGGCAGGGCGTGCATCTTGCAGAGGAGCTTAAGCTTTAAGCCTTGTTAATATATTGAGGAAAAAGAAAAGAAGAAAAGGAAAGAAAATGTTTTCCCTCAGGGAGGACTAATCGTAATAATTCCCCCCTATCCTCTCTGTTCTGGATTTGATCTCTTGAAGTGATTTTTCTAGGCACATCCAAGAATATTCATATATTCTTCTGTTCACTGGTGCATGTTGTTGTATACTGATACTGCTCCATTTAGTAACTGTTTGCAATGGGGTATGTATTCAAAGAGGTTCTCAAGACCCTTTGTGGAGTCAACCAGTGGGATTATGCTGTTTTCTGGAAAATTGGTTGCCAAAACCCCAAGTAAGTACATAAAAATAAAATATTTTCATTTTTAATGAAAGAATTTCAAGAAAAACCATCCCCTTAATTGGGATTATAGTTTTGTTTCAATTAATTGTGATGAAATTTATGATTTTTTGTGTAAATGTTACTGTTAGATCTGTGCTTTTTAGCTGTTCTTTTTGGCTAATTTGCATGTAATCATTTTCTTCTTGAATTTTGTGTTGAGCTTTGTTATTAGAAAGCGAATGAAAATAAAAGAATCCCAATCTGATGGTACTTTCTTGCTCAGCTCCAGCAAAACAGGGAACCAAGTGTAACTACTAAACATTCAGTGTTCAGTCCCTATCTTTGCCATATTTTTTCTTTGACCAAATTAGAGGATTTTATTTAAGTAAGTTTATTTGTTTCATTATTATTGGCTATGTTTTAAAGCTGCCTAATCTTTAAACAAGATTTGATTTGAAGTATAGTAGATTGGTTGGATTCTGTTGCCTTGTTTTTGCTTTGTGATCTAGTAACTGTCAATTTATCTATCTTTGGAGTTTTGTGGGTTGTCCATTTGCTTTGTCTTGGAGAATCTTATGAAATCCTTTCTACTGTTATGATTTCCTATGCAGAAATTTGTTCATTTCTAATACTTTCTTGTTTGAATCTGTATGTACTTAACTTCTTGTCCTCAACAATTCCAGGATTTTGTTTCTTTCCTCTATTTTTTTCACTGTCAGCCACTAGAAAGGATACATGAAATTGAGAGATTACACTTATATATCAAAGAACTGTAATATTGTTGAGAAGTAAATATGTAAACACTCAGGCCTTTTGAGAGGAATCAATACGAAATATTCGAACCATATTTGATTTCCTGCTAATGTGAAAAAATATAAGGCTTGTGTTGAAGGAGATTGAAGCCTATGTGATCAAGAACAATCAAGAACTAGTGCAAATAGAAATATCTTGAGTTATCCCTCTAGTGTACAATATCCAAACTATAACATCGTGTATCTCAAACCAATATGCACTATATGTAGACATGCATATATGCACGTGTATATCTAGTAAGTAGTAAGAATAACATTATAGAAGTGGTATTCATAAGACACTTTATGCTCATAATTTATGGAGGTATATGTTAAAATATATATACGGAACTAATTCTTTTCCACCAATATGTTTTCTAGTAACCTTCATGCTAATACTCCACTTACATATTGTAGGTTTTTGCAACCCAACCAATGATCTTCTATCTATCGATATGATTTGACTAATCAAATTTTCCACAAATGAATAATACACTAATAATAAAATGTTCCAACGTATAAATATAGTTTGGATTAGGTTTATTGGAAGATCCAACATGCTGATTTTGACTGAAATTTGATTTGGCAGGCTTTTAATTTGGGAAGAATGTTATTATGCACCCCTATCATGTGCTGCTCTACCAGGGATTTCCAGAATTGAGAATCCAAAATTCGGTTACGAAGATTATAATGCTTCCTGGTTTTCGACTGAAGATCACATTTTACCGCCCAGGGTTCAAGCAGGGAACAAAGTGCACATGCTTGTAAAACAGATGATGTCGGACAAGCATGTTAATATTGTAGGAGAAGGGTACTTCTATGCTTAGTTGCATTCCTTACTGTATATGAGATTTTAATGGAGTTGCAAGAAGCACAATTTAGTTACATTATGATTTTGTTTTCCAGACTAGTTGGAAGGGCTGCATTTACTGGAAACCATCAATGGTTTTTGTCTGAGAAATTTACAAAAGAACCCCATCCAACAGAGGTATGGTATAAGATGCTTCTGTTAGCGCATTTTACATATGCTCTTGCTTCTAAACCGCCTTAAAATAAAAGTTACGTATCCTTGTTTTAAGCTGCTAGTACTTCTTCATTGGAAGTCAGCCCATTTTAAGTTTGTATTAGGTTTGGCTAGCCTGTAAGCTCATTTCAGTTAAAATTGACTGCTGTACACAAAAGCAATTCATTCTGGAAATTTGTAAGATGTATAAATAGTGATCTTCATTATGGATCATAACAGTAAAATTCTCCTCTCTTTCTTCTTTTTAGGTTCTGAAAGACCTATGTCAGCAATTTTCTGCTGGAATGCAGGTATAAACATTCACTTTGTTTTTGTTTGCTGCTCTGTGTTTTGTTGTTTCACTGATTCTTTGCTTTCTATCAGACAGTGGCAGTTATTCCGGTTCTTCCTCATGGCATTGTTCAACTTGGTTCACACTTGGCAGTAAGTTTCTTTTTCTTCACTCCCACGTGTCTAGTCAAGGGAGACTTTTATAATTCAAGATCTTTCTACATCCGTGAAATTCCAGTATGAAGTTCATATTACAGCAAACTATGCCTTGTTACTATTTAATAAACTCGGGGTGGTCATAGTTGTTTCTTCCCCTCTCTGATGTTCCTGCAAATCCCATGTTAAATTTCGCTTTAGAGTCCAGTGATACAAATTGTGCATAATTCTTAGTCTTTTGATGCCTTATCTTGTTCTTGATATAATGTAAATGTCTTGCTGTCTCAGATTATGGAGAATATGATATTTATAAATGATGTGAAGAACTTGGTACTTCAGATGGGATATGCAGCTGGTGGATTACTATCTGATAATTATACAGCAGAAGTACTCTCTCCAGAAACAAGGGTGTCAGAATGTCTTGGAAATTTTACTCCTGGAGATTTGTATCTTGGATCAAATATTATGAACCCTACTCCTCCCATTGCTGACAGTTACAACTATGCTGGAAACTCAACTCAGACTTCTGGATTTGTCAGTCAAATATCTTGTTCTTCAGCAAGACAAATCCAGAATAATCTACTGTCAAATGATGCAGCATTTCAATCCTCGAACTCGAATGGAAATCATGTGAAGCCACACGATAAACACCTGGAATCAGAGCTTGATTCTGCTTTTAAGTTCAACTTTAATTCCAAAAACCAATGGGTGCATGCAGTGACAAAAGCTGAAGTTATCACCTCAAATCCCGAAATATGGCTGAACCAACAGGGTTCTCTGAATATCCCGAGGTCCATATTAGTTCAACAACCTTCTTGCAGTTCATCTACATTAAATAATGGCAATTTAAGATGGGCGGAATGTCAAATATTGTCGAGTTATGGAACTCAAGGCCATTTTAGCAACCAAAATGTGTCCACTGGCATTCCGATGTCTGCACTGGGAACAAATTCTGGTCTGATTTCGGGTTCTAATGAAGATTCTGTGACTATCCCATCAGTTGAAGTTAATGGACTACATGAAGGTGCAGGTGGCCAAGTGAAATTAATATCAGGAACAAATTCTGTTTCAGATACAACGTATAGGCCATCCAATGGAAATATTGCCTCCATGCAATTAACCTCATGTGGGCTTCCTAGTGCTAATTCTTCCAAAATGGAAGAATCCTTTTCTGATTCTTCATGCTATTTGACTACAAATCACTTGCTTGCTCATAGCTCTGGTAGCAAACATCACTCTATGGATAATAAATTTGCAAAGAATGAGTTGAAAGCAGCTGAGGACAGATTAGAGAAAAAGATAATTCACACGAATAATATTACCCACTCTCAACATGAAGAGCATCCGAATTTGGCTGAGATCAATTCTGGCTTTCTTCAAGATGACAGACAACATGAATTTGGACACGAGAATTTGCAACTGAAAAATGCTAAATATGAAGACGGATGTGTCCAAACTCAATCAGGAGATGATTTGTTTGATATTTTGGGTATTGATCTTAAGAACGAACTATTGCGTAGTTGCTGGACTGGTAGTTTGAACGGTCTACCAGATATGAATACAACTAATTTGGCCAAGACTAATCCTTTAGCTATAATAAGCCAGGATGGTACTTCAGAAATATATCCTACTAGCCAAGGAAATTCAGATAGTGGTATTTTCTCTGTGACAGGCAGTGACCATCTCTTAGATGCTGTGGTCTCCAGGGTTCATTCTTCGAGCTTGGATGACAATGCTTCTTGCAAGACAACATCGACATATCCGAGTAGCTCCTCTGCATATAATGCTTCACTTCCCTCTCGGGGGATTAGGGTTTCTGATCAAATGAAGGAAGAGTTATTTGGCATTCCAAAATATATGGTAAAAGCGGAAATATCGAGTTCTTGCTCATTTAGGTCTGGATGTTCCAAGGTTGATTCAGGAACCCTTTCTCAAAGTAGCTCCATCTACGGATCACAAATATGTTCATGGATTGAAAAGGGTCGTGAGATGATACAGAGTAGCAGTGTGTCTACTGGATACTCTAAAAAGCCTGATGAAACGAGCAAAACAACTCGCAAGAGGCTTAAACCTGGAGAAAATCCAAGACCCAGACCAAAAGATCGCCAAATGATCCAAGATCGTGTCAAGGAATTAAGGGAAATTGTGCCAAATGGGGCTAAGGTGACACCTCTTGTTTCAGTCCGACTTTTCTATTTACTTTTTAAGATAATCTATCTCTTAGATCTATTGGTGGTTCTATTCATTCGTGTTTAATTTGTTTTAACAGTGTAGCATTGACGCTCTTCTTGAACGCACTATCAAGCATATGCTTTTCTTGCAAAGTGTCACAAAGCATGCTGAAAAGCTAAAACAAACAGGAGAGTCAAAGGTGCGGGATTCGGACTTAGACTTCTCCAAGCTTTGGATTCTTTTTGAACTATGTCGAAAATTGATCAAAATTGAACTTAGGATAGGACAATTGATGACCACACATACACACATGTGCATGTAAATAATTGATTCAAAAGAATTGGCATAAAAAGTAATATAAGAGCAGACAGCTAGACCTCGGTTGGACAGAAAATTTGGAACAAATATATGATTGCTTATATTCTTGTGTAAGCTTCAGATTGTTAACAAGGATGGCGGAGTACTTACAAGAGATAATCTTGAAGGAGGAGCTACATGGGCCTATGAAGTTGGTTCACAATCTATGGTCTGCCCTATAATAGTTGAGGATCTAAATCAGCCTCGTCAAATGCTTGTGGAGGTAATTACTTGCATGTCTTACATCTCGAGATGTGGATAGTTATGTTCATCGTTACCTAATGTTACTGGAATTTGTTATTTTTACAAGCTTAGTGACATTATTTTGAATTTTTCCTTTCGAGACAGATGCTCTGTGAAGAACGAGGTTTGTTTCTGGAAATAGCTGATATGATTAGAGGAATGGGGCTAACCATTCTGAAGGGGGTTATGGAAAATCGGAATGACAAAATCTGGGCACGCTTTGCAGTAGAGGTAATGTTTTAAGTAGTATTGACCATAGCATTGTATTTGAATGCTGTAATTTTTTTTTTTCCCTTCCAATCTTGCCTCTGTCCATATTCTTTCTTTTTCCTTGGGGTGCGTGAGTGCGGTAGGTGTGATCTGTTATTGAATCTCTGGAACAACCATTTATGTGTGTACTAGTTTGATCAGGCAAACAGGGATGTCACGAGAATGGAAATCTTTATTTCACTTGTTCAACTCTTGGAGCAAACTGCAAAGAATGGTGCTGCACCTTCCAATGGCATTAATAACTAGAGCACAATGGTTCAACAATTTCATCAAGTTGCCTCCATTCCCATTACTGGTAGATCCCTCAGTTTGCAGTGATCCATTTAACATTTAAATTTTGGGTCTGGATATGTTATGAGCGAGCAAAGGTTATGCTCACGATGACTAACATTCATCCAGACTAATCTCAGGTTCCGATGGCAACTGACAACTTCTGAAGTTCATGAGCTGAAATCGTCAACAGTGTTTTGGAGCGTGGAAGAAACTTAGGAGACAGATTACTGCTTACTAGAAATTGATGAATTAGCAGATGTGACTTTGTAAACATTGTTGCCTCTTTTTATTCATTTGGTTTTCCATTTGCAATGCTTTCTTGGCGTAGTAATGTTCAGTAAAGATTGGAGGGATATTTATAAAGGGCAAGATGTGTTGTATTAAATATGTTTGTATGGACTGCATCTTGATATTCTTCTCTTTAAATTCCTGGTTATTTGTTCTTCTCCATGGTAGTTGTAAAAGATTCTCTAAAGCCACTATGGTCTGGGCTCTCACTGATGTCGTCCATCCTAGGGACTCCATTACGTTGCTCACGCTCTTAGTTGGAGGCAACCGTGGTTGGTTGGGAAAGTCATGGGAGAGGCAAGCTAAGTGAAATAATATACTATAGAATCTTATGAATCAGACCAAGGGCCGCCAAACCACTAATTTCAAAAAAGCATAAACATTCTCTAGAGAATTCGTATTGATTGAGTAGACCAAAAGCAAGAGTTGGATTTCCATCGAACTTTATAAAAAAGACTGTTACAGAGAGTGAGATATAAGATTTAGTGATGAAAAATTATTACAATCACAAAGTATCTCTTACCCTCAAAATTAAGTGGAGTCCATGAATATGTCTTCTAATCAAGTGTAGAGATAAAAACAGCAATGGAGTTATGTAAATTAAATTCAATGTGTGTCCTATTCAAATGAAATTAAGATGTCACTTGAGTATCAAATAACAATAATAAAGCATGGCTTGCCCTTTTGGGCTCGATTCTACTCTTGAAAATGTGGATACATCGACTTTCAAGTATCTCGTAGTTGAATGGTATTGGCATCAACATTTCCAATAATATGCTAATTGTTGGCCATTTTTAAAATTGGATTTGAATATGTACTTCTATCATGCTGTTAATTTTCAGTTATTTTAGAAGTTCAACTTGTTGAAAAGGATATTACTTTATTTATTTTAAATTTATTTAAGCTACGAGGATAAATACTCGTGTTTGGTCTTGCTTTTTAACGAGAAGGAAAAGAAATTATTATCGTATTATTTAGTTTCATCTAATAGTGCCTATCATAATATATTGGTATTCGCAACATAATTTAATTGTGCTCAAGTTCCTCACGTTTTGTTTATTGTAGAATTTATGTCCTTTTAACTTTTTTTCATCAAATTTTGATCTTCGAACTTTGATTAATTAGCACATTCATGTCAAAATAATGTGTTTGCATACTTCGAAATTAGGGGAAAATAAATTGTTGCACTTTTATATATATTTTTTTCAAAATATGATTGGCAAATAAGTTTTTTTACGCTCTCTTAATAGACCTTTTGGACAGAAACTATTAGAAGAGACAAGATATGCTAATTAATGGAAATTTGAAGATAAAAGTTAACGACTTAAGTAGCAAATTTAAGGATATAGCTGCTATGGTGAACAAACCTTGAGGATCTTCAGTGCAATGAAAATGTAGTGCAATTTGCAAAAACCATTGTGTGAATATAATTATCCTAAATATATTGTCCAACTAGCATTTTTTTAGAGAAAAAACCAGCATATTTTTGCGATTTTAACAGCTGATGGTGATTGAAATGCTGATATACAATCAAGAAGATTGCATCCTCTTCCATTAAGTATCTTCTTGTCTGTACAAGATATTGGGGGGAAAAGATAGTTGCTTTATATATTTTTCCAATTTAATGCTAACATAAAGGATAAATTTGATTCCATAGCTTTAGAATTATGTTCTTTAGCATATAAAAGTACTTTTCTCAAGTAATGAATGGCTCTAAAGCGGTCTTATTTAGTCACAGGAGTGAGACCTGATGTATATCAAATGCATATAGTTCTGCATTTGAGAAATAGTTGCATGCAAATTTAGATTATGCAGATCAGGTTCACCACTTTTATTTCATTCTCATGATTAAACACAATATGCTTCTATATCATGATAGTTTGCAAGTGGGTAATTTTTTTAGGTCTGAGCGTCGGGTGGGTTGATCCGACCTAGATATTTTTTTTTTCTTGTTAGTCGATTGATGTCAATAATCTATATATATGTTGGACTTCTTTATTTCAAGAAGACCAAATGTTAACAGGGTTTCCATGTTTGATGCTGTTATGTGGCTTTTAAGACAATCTTGTATAGATACGACGATTATTTCACATTGAAAGAGCAAAAGTTAGCTTTTTCATCGTTTCACACATATTTGTGTTGTTTGTACTCTCGTGGTATTATCTCGTAGAATGTATTCTTGGAGATTTAAGGTTAAATAATTTGTTTTATTTTTGTCCCTTTTAAATATTAGTGAAGTTCATCTCGTCCTTAAACCTTAATTGTAGATGAAAAGTAGAATTTTTCCATTTGCTTTTATATTTTCCTAAAATCCCCTTGAATACTTTTATAATCCCGGAAAAGGATGGATCTTACAAAAACTTATAGAAATGTTAAAAATGCGACGAATGTAAATTGGGATTATGATATAAATGTACAATGGACCCAAGTATGATATGGTCCTACATGTAATCGATACAAATACGAGATGTAGGGAGAGAGCTCAACATTGAAGGACTTGTAGCACAAAGTTAAGCTGGAGATGAGAGAATCTCAACTTGATTTTGAGGGTTCAGGTTACTTGAGCTGCTCAAGTTGAGCAAACTGGAAGCTACAAGAACCAATAGTTTTTACTTTTTGCAACATAAATTAGAATAAGAAAAAGCTTACAAATTCTCTTATTTAAAGAATATATTCATACCAAAGGTTAAACTGTTCGAGGTCCAAGCAATATGCATGAAGGTATTTTTTCATTGTTGAACCTGATTTCAACAAAAAGGCTGTAAATATATCATATGTCAGAGATAGGGATTTTTAAACCTTTAAGTACAGACATAAATCTTGAAAAATTTTCAATAGAATTGAAAACGAAGCATCATCCACTGCAGGAGTGGCATATCCAATTGTTGGAAAATTTTAACATATATGGGGCCACACGTGATATATTAAAATGTGTGGTGCTATTATTTAATGAATATTATTCAATTAAAGTAATCCGTTAAAACTGTATTTTGACTGATGGGTATTAGGTTTCATGGAAATATAGTGTAGAGATCGGAAGTTTGTTTTAGATTGATAATGGACAAATTTGAAACAACTGAAAGATAATAACAATTCAGTTATCATTATTTTATGTAGTTATGGTACCCAAGTTGATAGTGTTCTTCAAATTCTCTGTATCCTCATCAACAAAGAGTGAAAATCAAGAGAAGACCACCAATCAATTGGAATATCGTAACACATTTAGGCAAACAATCAAACAACATGAATCAATGTATGTTTCCGCTATTAATCTTCTCTTGATTTCAACATGGAGTATATTTATACATGTGAATAGGATTTGATAATGTTTTTAGTTGATAATCATTTTCATAAATCTCTAACAAGTGGTATCAGAGACTCTCCATGGTTGAATTCATGAGAAATTATAGTTTTAAAATTCTGAATTTTTTGAATTTTGGGTTATTGGATCTTTTGTCATGTTATTATATGAAACTTTGTAATATATTCATGTTTTTCGTCCATAATTAAGGTTTTTCTCTCAAAAAATCGGGTTTTAACATTAAGGTATTTTCAGATATGTTAATAAAAAATAATAATAATATTTTTCGGTCGGCCGCCATCGGTGCACAACAGCAACGTGGGCACGCTGTTGGGCGGCGGCACCGACCACTTGGGCCTTGGCGGCGCCGCCAAGGAAGAATGAGAAAATAGGAGTTTTTTTTGGAACCCTAATTTTTCAGTTTCTTTTTGGAATTTTTAGAGGTGGGGACTTGGGCTGCAAATTTGAAATTTTGGGGCCCCTGCTTGCAATTTAATATTAGGGGTTAGGGTTGAGTTATTTATATTTCAGGCCCTAAAATTTAAAATTTATTTAAGTAGGGTCTTAAGGTTATGAATTTTAATAATTCAGCACATGAAGTTCTAAAATTAATTAATT